TTTTTTTTTTTTAATCAACATTTTATATTATATTCCTGCTTATTTTTCTTCATCATTTTAAATCCACCATTTCCAATCTATTTAAAACCATCTGGTTTCTTAGAAGACCACAAAAGTGTACCCTATGCCTTATCCCCAAGAACCCTGCCAGCACGCGCCCTCCACGGTGTCTGCGCTCATCTCATTTCTTTACTGGAGAGGAGGCCTCCCTCACCTGCGCTCCTCTCCCCCTTGGCAGGCTTACTGCGATATGGAGACTGGCGGAGGTGGATGGACAGTTATTCAGCGACGTGAAGATGGCAGTGTTGATTTTCAGAGGACTTGGAAAGAATATAAAATGGTATGGATACTCTTTAAACCATGTGAAAAGAAGAATTTTCCTCATGAAAACTAACTTTCAAGATCTGCAGAACTTTAACCACAAATCCAAAACTAACCAATAAATTTTGACTTAGTTTTTTGCCAAAGGGTTCTTCAAACTGGTGTTTCAGTCTCCACATTAAAGAATGGTCACTGTCATGTGAACTATATTTCAGAGTGAAGGCATGCAAGTGCCTGGCCTAGTTTTAAAGGCAGGCTTAGCATTTTTTTGTAAGCTGTTTCACAGTGCTTCACATTTTTATAAACTTAGCTGTTTATACTTATATTTCTACAGGTAGTTCCCCAAAAGGTTCTAATTATTCTAATAGTAGTTTTTCTCTAAGAAAACTTAGTTTCTGAAAACTGATCTTTCTACGATCTATTTTCCTCTATGAAGGACTTTGCATTGTTACAGTATTAGAAATAATTTCTGCTGATAGTTATTCTGTAATAAATTGACGGAATATTGATTTCAAATACATACAGAAAATAAGTGCAGTAACTGAATTTTACATCTTGGATTCCAGGGATTTGGTGACCCTTCTGGAGAATACTGGCTGGGAAATGAGTTTGTTTCACAGCTGACCAATCAGCAACGCTATGTGCTTAAAATACGCCTTACAGACTGGGAAGGGAATGAGGCTTACTCACTATATGAACATTTCTATCTTTCAAGTGAAGAACTCAATTATAGGTAAGTAAATTATTGTAGTTGGAAAAAAAACTAAAAAACTAAAGGACTGCCGGATGGTTAGTCCGTAAAGTGAGAACCACATTAAGTAAGACCTAAACTACTCTTAGAGGACCTCGAATGGAAAACATCTTGTTACCTAGAGTTATTACTGTTACATTATCACTACTACCCTGGTTGTAACAATATAAAGGAAACTTCATGAGGAATTGTTTGCTGTGTACCTTGAAAGCCTAGAAGAACTCTTCCTGGAAGGTAACGAACATTCATAACTATTTGAAGAATAAGTTAATGTTAAATGCCCCTTTTAACATAATGATATGAATAGCATAACTCATGAGTATATTGTTTTCTTCCAAAAGGTTTTAATAACTAATCTCTCTGAGGTTGAAAGTCATTCAGTTGTGTTCAATTCTGAAGTCAGGATTAGTTGCCAAGTTTTTAAATGGCAGAATTAGGTAGGGTGGTGCTGCAACTCCCCTGCTCTCTCCTACAGTGAGTCTATTCAATTCACAGCATTCCCTTAGTATCTAACTCATCTCTGCCCATTTGGTAGCAATAATCTTAAATAACAGCATGCGCAGCCTTGACCAGGAATTACCAAGGGCTCTAAAATGCCATCAGAGCAGGGGAGATGCCATGATCCCGAAGGTGGTTTTCCCAGCGCGAGGCTTAGCCATTGCACTCCGGATGTGCTGACCCCTGCGATTTCCCCAAATGTGGGAAACTTGAGTGCTTTATTTGTGGTAGTGGGGAACTGTGTTTGTGCTTTCTCCTGATTAAAAATAATAATAATAATAATAAAATATAATGCCATCAGAGTAGAGGTAGATGACAGTAGGGGGTTTGACAGTGTCCTGTGTGAGACAAGCAAGGTGAAGTTGTGTGCACAGTTATGCCAGGACACGATGCGTGCAGAGCTGGTGAGGGGAGAGAATTGAGACTGCGTGCTGGGTGGCACTGCAGGAAAGGAGCTGAGAGTGGTCAACGCACCAACACAGCTCTGAGAGAGTCAAAAGAGCACAGACCGTGGGTCTGGTGAAGCTGGAGTGCACAGCTTCTCAACGAGATGTTCAATAAGAACATCATAGAAGGTAGCAACCAGGCGGCCCGGGGTCCCATCTGAGCATAATGCCCAATGTGGACCCTTTATTGAACAAAAATCCAAAGACCTGAACAATTTGGAGCGGAAATAATGATTTTAAAGTGCTTGAGCAGGCTTCCTTCAGAAGGGCCAGTGGGTAGCATGGAGAAGAGGCTGAGAGTAAGGTTGCCTGATCAGCCCCCTGAAAACCACAGTGCCCAGTACGTCCTGCTTTACAGTGGATAGAAATGCAGGAGTGTGTCTGGAAAACAGACAAACACTGATGTGACTTCTAGAAAGTCAGGGAAGCATATTCTACCACTTCTCACTATAGAAAGAGCGGCGCTCCCTTGGAGAGGCAACAACTGAGATGAATGAAAAGATAGGTGTTTGGGTCTCCCAGCAGTTCCCAATTGACTCCAAAGAGATCAAAACTCAATGGATTCTGAGACACAAGTGGTCAGTCATTGTTTTACTTCCAAGTTAAATATTTTTTCAACTGGCAGCAGTTAGGGATCCACAACAGAGAAATTAAAAAAAAAAATAGAAACACAAAAATTAAGGATTAGACTGTTTGTACAAGACAATTTTACAAAATGGGTCATTACCCTTGTATGCTGACATTATAAAAATATTTTAAACTGAGATGTTCTTAGCAGATATTTCCTTCAGAAATGCAATCAATTTTTAGATATGCCACTTAAAAACACACAATGGTTTAAAGCTTAGTTTAATTTGCTTGGCAATATAAGATAGATATTACATTAAAATTATTATCCTATTATAATAAAACATGATGCTAATGTAATAAAAGAACCGTGAGGGACTAAATGCCTTGGGATGCTGACTGCATGCAGCCGCCAAGGCTTTCCCTGAGGAAATGTTCCCCAAATCCTGTCAAAGGGAAGAGTACATGTCATAAGAGGTAGAAAAATGCCTCAGTAGAATCTGATTCTTTTTTATATAGACTCTGGCAGGTTTTTTTTTTTTTTAATAAATACTGAGATTTAATTGTTAAATGTTGGTAGTACATCTTTACCCCACTGTTACTATAAAGTCAACCGGTACCAACGTAAAACAATTTCAAGAAAAATGGCTGTTCTTAATAACCAAAGTTTAAAGAAAACATTTTATATAAGTGGGACACAGAAGGCTCTAAGATCGTACAATCTTTCTAACAAAGACTCACACAAAATAGTGTTCCTGTTCTTCTAGCCTCTGGGGAACTGTTGTGCAAGGTGGCAGCAGAGTGAACAGGAGGACAGGAGGCTTGGTGGCTCATCTCAGCCCCATCTGGGGGTGATGAGGAGAGGCAGGAAAGGATAGCTTCAGGATGATGAGAACTTACCATATTAACATTTTCCAGCAGGTATTTAGAGACTGAGCTGAGGGCAGACTCACTTCTGACACTGAGCTTCAGATGTCAATGCCTCATGATGTTCTCAGTGCTAATATATTAAATACTTTAAAAAATGTAAGTCATTAACACCAAAGTAACTCTGCACCCACACTTCGGGAGCTCCCCTTCACACTGCCTCACCCCCTCTCTTCACGATTTCTTCCTCAATAAGCAAACATTCCTAAAGGTGTGTGCCAGGGAAGCACAACAGAAAAGTCTGCCACACGCAGTGTGAATCCGAGCTCCATGGCTCCATGAGTTCTGACTTTGGATAAATTCATAGCTCTGAATCTTGATGGCTTTCTTCGTGGAAACAGGGATGGTGCCCAGGTCTGGGGGTGTTAGGAGCACCCAATGCACATCTGTGTAAGTGCCTGGCCCCACCTGCTTGGCAGGTAGAACGGAGCAAACCTTTCTTTCCTCTCTGCTCTAACAAATTCTTGGAAATTGTATCTTCCAAAGTCGTAGTTAGTAAATGTCAGCAGGTTTTTCAAAGAGCAGCATCATTTGGGGGCTCAAAGTATAATCTGCTGCCGCTTTGTAGGCTCCTCCCTTGGGTCTCCATGTGCCAGTAAGGATTAGATGCTCTAGAACCCAAGGGTCAGACATACCTCCTCACATGGGTGTCTGCTCTGACCGTCCTGAACCATCTACCTCCTCACATGGGTGTCTGCTCTGACCGTCCTGAACCATCTA